GCAAATGCATGATAGACCAGGCACATGTATCCTTGACTTATGGGGAAAGCAGCAGTGTATTAGGGTAACAAAACTGAGTGGTACACCAAGAATTGCTGGCTTCCAATTTCACTCAGCTGTGAACTTGTAAGAGGCTTTATGCAAACTTTGATCTTCCACCTGAATGTAAAGTTTTATATATTTAAACGTAATTATAATCCATTTTTCAGAATTACACTCTCACAAAGCAAGTATACCAGAAGCGATAATAAATATATAGAAATGTCATAAGGGTATATAGTATAAAAATGTTTTTCTGGTGAAATCAGTGAAGCTTTTATTAAAGGCAGGTGGGGTGACTAGGTCTTGAAGGTTTGCTTAAAAACTCCTATTGGAGGAGGGAGTATGCTCACCATAAAGGAATTTGATGCCTATAGCACTACCACATTAGAAATCTATTTCCTGTGTTCATTCCTTTTACTGATCTTACAGGATACACTCAAGCATGTCCTTCAAAGGAGGTCTCAAAGCATAGGCAAGCAGAAACAGACTTACATAGTAGTGAAACCAATGAGCTTAAAGGGTTAGGACAAACACTTCTATGAAGCAGATATAAATTATAGTTAGCAGATACAAATTATAGTTAACTAGGCTATATCATTAGGAAGGCACCAAAGGTAGTAATAAAGAACAGTAGTTTTTATTAGGAACAACAGTTACGCCAACCAGTAGTTAAAAGATCTTGTGATCTTCGGAATTCCCTTTTTCTAATTCCATTTTGCAATTTCATATGCTGCCTTTCTTAATGCTGTTCCTTCCAGCAAGAGGAGAAACCAATCCGTCAGATCTTATATCTGGGTGAGCTGTTGGAGACATGCCACTTTCAGGCTTTCTGGGTAAGCTATAAGCCTCCATCACATAGCAGGAGCCTTTTGTGTTTGCAAAAATCTTTGAAGTCCCCAGTGATGTCTGCCTGATTCAGTCTGCTCAGCCTCATTTGAAAAGGCTACTCTTTAAAGTTGTCTTTTTAGGTGATTTTGCATTTCAGTAAGAGCACTAACACTGCTGTTCTAAAATTGCATTTGTGGATGTGTTCCCCCCCCTTTTTTTTTTTTTTTTTTGTTTGGACTTAAAAAGCATTTCTTTGAAATTAGAAGCTGGAATGTTTATCCTCAGCTTTGGTAAAACAGGGTTTCCATTTTCTGGGAAGTGAAGGAAAATGGGAATTGGCCAGGGAAGATCAGGATTAAGATATGCAACTATTCATACTACTGGGGCTGGATGGTCTTAGTTGTTGTTAGCTGCCCTTGAGTCGGTTCTGACTCATGGCGACCCTGAGGATGTGACATCTCAAGAATCTCTATCCTCCACTGCCTTGCTCAGATCCCACAAGGCCTTCTCCATAACCCCCCTGATTGAGTCTATCCATCTTGCACCTCTGGAATTTCTCCCTCCATGTATGGCTGGAGTCTATGCTGCAGAATTTTGAGCATTATTTTGCTTGCATGTGAGATTAGTGCTATTGTCCTATAGTTGCTGCAGTCTTTTGTATCTTCTTTCTTGTGGCTTGGTATGTATAGTGAGCATTTCCAGTCTGTCGGCCACCTCATTGTTTTGCATATTTGTTGGCATATTTCAATTAGCACTAAAGTTGTATCTGTGTAGGCACTGTAGCAGTTCAATTGGGATATCATCTGTTCCCCATGATTTATTTTTTCCCATTTCCTTTATTGCAGATTCCATTTCATTTCTTAGAATTTGGGGTTTGTCTTCCTATGGTTCCTCATCCCAAATACCATTCATTCTTTTATATAACTCTTCTGTGTATTGCCTCCAGCGTCTTTTTATTTCTTCTTGTTCCTGTATTATGTTCTTTTTTTCTCCATAAAACATCCCTGCTGTCAGTCTGAACTAAATTTTAATTTCTTGGATTTTTTGATAGACGTCTCTCATTCTTCCTTTTTTGTTGTTGTTTTCTGTTTCTCTTCATTGGTGATTGTAGTATTTCTCCTTATCCCTGCGTGTCATACTTTGGACAGTTGTGTTCATATTTCTGGGTTTGTTCCTATCTCCCTTTGCTTACAAAATGCTCTTAGTAGCCAACCGTAAATTCCTTTTAGCCAGCTCTAAAATCCAGTTCTGCTGCAATAATGCTTTGCTCTAAAAACTATAAAAATGAGAGTTGTTTAGAAATTAGACCTTACTTGCAGAATGATGTTAATAAAAGGAAGGCTATTTTAAAATGTTACATTTTAAGGGCGGGTTAAATAGAAGGAGTTTATAGTATTTATTTTACACAGTTCAACTTTGATACCTTCCACCTCTGTTTCTACAAAAAGTCATTGATAGATTTCAAACAAAAACAAAAACAAAAATGTTCTGTTATTAGCCATTGTTTGAAGTTTACTTGTGATCATGATACATGTTTAATTTTTGTTAGCAAGCATTGGATGAGAACTTAGATCTCCTGGATGGGATTACCGGATTTGAGGATTCTGTTAGGAAATGTAAGTGTGTTTTCCTCTACTGCTGCATGCTTCTTTCTCCTTCATTGTCATGTTAATATTTATATTATCTCCTTTTGGTTTTAAAGAAAAATGCTCAGCAGTCCAGGAAGTCTGTATTTCCAATAAAGGATGGTGATCATCTCATCTTGCTTAAATTGTTCTTCTTGTTATGTCACTGTCCAAGTGAATCAAGAGTACTCCCTACTGTATGTGTTTGTCACTGCAAGAAGAACTTTGTGCTCTTTTCAGTCTCCATAGCAGCAGCATTTATAAAGTTCTTTCTTTCCCACCTAAAGCCACATACAAGCAATCTGTTGGTCCTGACTGCATTCATCCTAACGGTGTGTTCCTTAAACCAGGATACATCCAATGCAAACTTTCAGAACTTTGGTTAAAACTACCACTCTCAGCCTGTCATCTTGTCTTTTTACAGTCATCTGTCATGTGGTTGGCATCACATACCAACACATTGACCGCTGGCTTCTAGCCAAGATGTTGGGTGACCTCACAGGTGAGTGACTACTGGTATGTAAACCAATTCTCTTTCTCAAGGCCAGGGGATGCATAACTTGATAGGCCACCTGTGTTTGTCTCCTTTTCTTTCTAAACTGTTTCTATACAAGCTCATCTCATGTACAATTTGTGTAAAGTCAAGAAACACAGCTTCAGTTTGCTTTTTTCCTCTCCCCCCCCCCC